TAATTGAAATATTTAAAGATATAGGCAACTGCTGTGGCAGATACGGGAAAGGAGAGGGCTGCTCAAAAGGACACCAAGCAAAACCTGTGTGTGGAGGAGGCACAGCCTCCTCAGGAGCTCTTTTGGCAGTCCATCAGGGGACTGGGGCTGTTGCACTTTTCTCTCTTTGGTTTGCCTACACCTACTGTGAATCCCTGGGGCCCTGTTCAGCCGGACATTTTAGGAAATGCACTGTATTGTAGCACTCCTCAGTTCTCCTTCATGCAGTTTGTCCCAAAACAAAGAAACGGCATCGGCTGTGTTGAGCCGCAGTGTGGAGATCATTTGGCCAATGATATGATGTGCGCAAACCTTTAGCCTTCTGGCTTTGTACCCAGGACACAGAAGAACAGCTCTTTTGTTCTTACTTGTCCTTCTACTCGAGACAGAGCTTCCACCTGCTGATCTGTGGAATGGAAAGAACTCTTAAGCATTAGTTCCTCGAAATTATGTTGTTTCCTTATTGTCCAGTGGTAACCTTTTAAAGTCTTTGAGAGAAGAACATATTCCTGAACTAAGGAGTACTTGTCTTAGTCACTGATGATTAAACACTGTTTCTAACAGGGCTGTCCCAGCAAAAGTATGTTGTAGTGTAAAAACCTGCTTATTTTACCCTGGTGCAAAGACTGGATTTTTTTCCAGGACAGAGATGACGCTTGCCTCAAACCATTTCTAAGGTAGAATGGGATAGTTGACAACTTTAACTTGAAGGTGTCTATATGCCTGTCTTGCCATCTGGCAGGAAACACCTGAGGTCCCTCTGGACTCGGGTCTCTGAGGCTGCCACGGTCTTACAGTTGGATCCAGCACAAGTGATGAGCTGGCAGGTTCTTGCGGTGATATTTACTGTGGCTCCCAGACACCTATTTGACCTCAACAGCCATCATCTCCGAGAACTCTTTTAACTGTCTTAGAGAACTCTGGCTCACAGTCAAGCAAATTAAATTCAGTACAACCCAAGAATTTAAGAACATCCTATTTTAAGATTTTTTTACATTCCAAACTGGACATCGTTAGACCATTATCAGTGCTGAAGGCAAAATTTCATGTTCTGCTTCATTTATAAATATGAATCTCAAGTATCAAAGGATCTGGAAAGGGATGGAAGGAACCAGCTTGAAAAGAATTAGCCGGGAAGTAATTACAATTTATCATCATAGAAAAGACATGGCTGGGAAACCACCTCATTTAAACTGATTTCCACATCTGTGTAACTCTTCTTTTATAACAGCTCTTCCTGTGGGCTCTGAGGTGTTACTTCCTTTTTCTTTTTCCCTATGACTTATGTCCTTAAATGGATAATGATTGTTCACTGCAGGAAGTGTAATTTTACCTCATTTAAAGGAACGAATGAAGGTTTTCTACACATTATGAGCTATTTAGGGCCTTTTAGCTAATTGTGAATGACTTTCTCCAAAGAGTCAATCCGCTGTAAAATCCAGCTTTGAGCTCTTGGCAGTTGAGATGTGTGTCTGCCTCCCCACCGCACTCCTTTCTCTCCTACTGTAGTAGTTCAGGTTGGCAGAATCGGGCTGTGGAGCAGCTGTATGCACAGCATAAGGCAATGGAAGAGGCTCAAGGGTCAGACAGGGACAGGAACTTCCAAACAGTCCCAAGTACTGACATCCTCCACTGGATCAGCGTAACAAGGAAACAGGTATGTCTGCATCATGTGTCTCTGCGCAGAGTGCTAAGGGACATGGAGGCCTGTACAGTGGTGGAGAGGATGGGTTTGCATTTGTGTGTGGTGTGTGACGCTCCTGTTCACTGAGGACAGTTCAGAAATAGGCTTTTGGGAAGAGTAAACTGTACATGTCTTCCCCTGTCTGCATGCTTGCTTTCAGACCAGCAACCTGCCATCTTTGTAATCTTGCCCTCACTCTTTTTGGGCAGTAGTAAGTCTCAGGATAAACATTTTCTATGTTAAACTGAGATGTGTGGCTCAGTGCAGTTTGTAGCTTACCTGCTACCAAATGCACCGTTGCAGCTCATTGTATTCATGACTAGAGATATTTGGGGTTACCTGGTGGACTGCACTAGAGTTCAGACCTTGTCTTCCCACAGTCAAGAACACTCACACTTTCTGACAGTCCAGACAGGACCCACACTTTCTCACCAGGACAGGAAAGGCCGTGTTACCTTGTGAGCATGTTGTGAACCAGTGTAGCGAGATACCGAGTGTCACTGGGCACTTGAGCAGGACCTGCCAATGGAGACATGTCACCTCCAGCTCTGGGGATGGCAGCCACTTCCTGCCTTACCCACGCTGCAGTAAATCTGCAGTGCTGTCTGGCCCTGTTTGCCTTTGGGCTGCTGCTGCGTTACATGGCAAACAACTTGCTGTGTCTGCCCCGATGCTGTTGAATGACAAGTTTTAAGAAGATTTATCCTCCCTGTGTGTCGTGTCCTTTAACCCAGCTGTGGAGAAGATTACGGTTTATGTACTGGAAACCACAGGGCTGTGCTCTTGTAGGGCTTGCCCAGGACTTGAGCGTACGTCTGCCTCTCCAGAGTGACAGAAATTGTTCTCGGAGAGGGGGGAAGTGTACAGAACTTCTGTTACCTTCTGGTTTGCTCCATATCTCTTCCAGCTTGAATGAGAACTCATGGTCCAGGTTTCCAAGTCCACAAAATTACTTTACCTTAAGCTTGTGAATTACCCAGCCTTGGTTTTTTTCCTCAGTCTTCTTTTTCCCAAGGTTTCTAAAATGGTTTATTCAAAATCTGTTAAGTAACCTGTAGAGAAGATTTCATAAATACATTTTCAGCATTTTATGATGAAAAAACCCCAATTTGAAGTGCTGATCCTCAAACCAAAAATGGAGGTCTTCATTTTGCTACAGCATCACTCAGGAGTATAAAAGATGTCAGTAACAGAGGGCTTGTTACAAAAATCTTTTGCTACATAAATCTTTATCAAGAAGAGGCTTCAATTAAGTAAATTAGATAGGAAGTGTGGTTTTTTTCCTTTTAAGATGCTGGAGCTCTCTTGCGTTTTGCAGGCTAATACAAGTTTCAAGTATTAAGGTGAAAGCTGCCCATTAATGACCCATAATGAGTATTTTAATTTTCTCTCCATATATGGAAACAATAAAAATTAAATGTAATGAAACTTGACTGGAAAAATGACATTAATCAGTCATGAAGAATAGCATTTATTAACAAGACCTGGAAAATATATCATGTGCCACCTGCCACCATTTAGACCACTTCAGGTATCTTAACACAGCTTTAGTAGAACCAGTAACAGGATATTTGCAGTTAGCCTCTCAACCAACATAGAAACATTTATACATTTTACTGGAGCAGTGAAAAGTGTTCATCTTTAAACTTGCTCACAACAATGTGAGATACGTGAAATCAGGTCCACAGACATAACTCTTCCCATGATTTCCCACTCAAATGGGACCTCAGAGAGCAGCTGTGCTCTCAGATGGTCAGGTCTTGGTCTGACTGTGGAGTGTGCTCTGGCACAAACAGCTACTTTTGCTGTTGCAGGGGAGATCCCCTCTTCCACAAGAGCCCTGTGATTCAATGTCTTACAGGGAAAACCTGCCTCAAGTGATGTCAGTGCAGTCTGCCTGTAGTTTTCAAGGGTGTCAGGATCAAGGGTGCCATGATTTTAACCTGTCAATCATCAATAAAACTGTAAGAACTCTTGAAATGCCTATGTCTTCATTTTGGAAAACTAATTTTGATTGTTCTCCAAACAAATTGGTTAGAGTTTTGATTGGAAAGGCATTTCTTCCAAAAGCAAAATCCCCTGCTAACAGTTCTCAAGATTTTCCTTTTCCCTTTTTAAATATCATAGAATCATAGAATAGTTCGGCTGGAAGGGTCCTTCAAAGGTCATCTAGTCCATCCCCTCTGCAGTGAGCAGGGACATCTTCAACTAGATCAGGTTGCCCAGAGGCACATCCAGCCTGGCCTGGAACGCCTCCAGGGATGGCGCATCAGCCACGTCTCTGGGCAGCCTGTGCCAGTATACATATTGATTAGCATCTGCAAACTAGAAATCTGAGTGAAGCCTTTATGTTCTTCAGCACACTTAGCACAGACAGGCTAAAAACTAACAGCACACAGAGCAGTATCGCAGCTGTGAACCACTGGGGAGGAGTCAGTGCTGCACACCTAGAAGTGCACGTGTGGCTAGGCCACTCTCCATAGGAACTAGGGAGCCTGGCTATCAGTTCAGGAATTCCCACCTGAATGCAGATTTTAACACTGTTCAAAGTTTCATAATTACTACACATTCTAGTCTCTGCTGTTCCCAAAAAAGTACGTATGCTGAGTGAATGTGAACTCAGGTTGAAAAATTAGAATTCAGAGCTGAGTTTTTACTCTTATCCTAATCAAAACTAGGTGTATTGAGGCAGGTGACTGTGAGTATCCTGGATCAGCTGTACAAACTGTACTATTTCAGTGTTTCACATAAGCACAACAATCCCAGCTGGATTTGTGACTTGGAAAAGCACATTTAGAACTTGGTTTTGGATTTGGCCTTGACTTGGATTTTCTTCATCCTAAAATACAGATAGTTAATGTCGAACTAAGTGAGTTGCTTGCAAGAAGACAAACATCTGTTGTCTTTCATACTCCCAGCAGATGTAGAAAGATGAGTTGCTATGTTGGTGCAAAACTGAAGAAAATTGCTTATATGTAACCAGGAAGTACTGAAGTGATACGAGACTATATAAACATTTAAATATGAAATACCTTGTTCATTTAGTAAAAAACCCAAAGAAAATGTGATACCAGTGAAGCTTGTCTTAAATAACCAATAAAAATATGCTGCTTATATTAATTATCTTATCAGAATTATTTCTAAGAGAAAACAGGCATTACTGTACTAAATATGCTTAGGGATGAATACCACGCTTAGAGAGGGACCTTCTGTTGTTTAACCTTAATCGTGCCAGGGGGTTTGATGGGTAACTGTGGTGTGTGCTGATGGGTGTCTTCTAATCAGTCTTTTTAGTCTTCCTGTAGTGCAGGATTGTGGCTGTGACCCAAATATTGAGAATGAGCATGGTTATGAAACGGATGAGAACTAAAAGGGGGAAAAAAATAATCCTGTAAGCATAAATCAAAACACATCAACTACGGTCATTTTCAGAGAACAAGCTGTTTTCTAGTCTTCATGGATGTGCAGACAGGCTGGGTCCCGTTCTGCAACTCCTTTCAGTCAATTAATTCAGGAACCCAGAAGCTCTCAGAGTAAATATAGCAGAGGACAGCATTTAGCACTTTCCAAGTTATAAATGAAAATAATACGCTACAGTACCTTTAACAGTACAAGTCTGAGTAGCGTCATATAAATGTATATTTACACAAAAACTCAGTATCAGCTCAAGTGTCCTTTATAATTGTGTGTGTTGTTTATGATAAAGGGATTATTCTCTAGCGTCATCTGTTAAGTAAGTTTAGACTTTGGGGAGACAGGAAATACTTGTATCTGTCTGATTTTAATGAGAGGAAAACTGACAACTTACTTAGAAAAAAGCAGTTTTTCAGTATCTTGATTAACTTCAGAGGGGTTTTTTTAACCAAAATAAGCATGTCTCTACTTGTGAGAGCACAACTGGAAGTGTAGGTATAACTAATACCCATTTGGTAATGGGAATATTCACAGAAATGTGCACAAGATTTAGTTTCAGAAATACGTGATATTTGACAGTTTCATACACATGTATGAAACTGAGAGGAACATGCCAAAGTGTTCAGAGTTAGAAGTTAAATGGAAACATTTCCCATTAGAGCAGCATAGCACCAATGTTTGCTGCCATCTTTTCCGTGCCCCAAAGTATACTGTACTGAATTTTAAAAAGCAGCTGCAACCAGAGCCAGCTTTTTACCTTCATGGTGTTTTTCTCCCTTCCTTCCTCCTCTAAACACACCTCTCCTGCTTCTTATCAGTCTAAGTGTGTAGCTGTGGGCAAACTGAGCTTGATAACTGACCTGGACTTAAACGTCTGTGTGTGCGTTATGCCAGTTTTTTGGTGAGCCAGTTAACTGCCTGGCCCCACAAACAGTTCCTCTGGCAAAGAGAAAGCAGCAAGCACAGGAGTGGAAATGAGTGACTGAGCCAGGGACTTCCTTTTCCTGAGAAAGAGCCACTTTAACTGCTTGTAAACCCAACCCACAGCCTTATTGTGCTGCAGAGGGCTGCTTAAAAAATAAATAAATCCATTCCAGTGATGTTTCTGATGAAACACCAGTTCTGAACCAGAACAAGGAACAACCAAATGAAGTACAATGTGATACTGTTATTGGTCTTACATCCGCCAAGTCTCGTTTTGAACCATTTACTGAAGAATCTGCTGCACTCCTTAGCTCTTTCAGTTTTGTCAGGATGGCAAGCAGCTGCTAAATGAATTTGCTTTATAACAAAGCCAGATGCAAATTGCATATTTTAAGCCAGGTTTTTCTTTCATCTTACCAGCCTACTATTTCACTTTCAGCCTGCCATAAACTTTCTGAATCTTGTGCCTAAAACTATTCATATACTAAGCTGAACTTCAGATTTCTAGAATTTTTTTACTGCACAAACCCCACAGTAAAAGAAACACTTATTATTTGAAAAACTAACACTCAATTATTACAGTTTAAGTTGTATTTTACTAAATTTGTTTATTTATGTACTTAAATATTAAAGATTTTTAATTATTTATTCTGCTATTTTGATAATGAGGTTGATTTTGTAGGGCTTTTGCCTTTTGAAAAAAAAATAATTTTGGACCACTTGTCACCAAGTGATCAGCATAAGCAGGTTTGTTTGCTTTCTCCAGCTTTTTGACTGATGTGTAATCCTATGCTCCTTTCTTAGCTCTGACTTCTTCCCTCACTGTGCTAGCACACCAGGTTCCTGATTTGTTCTTCTGAGACCAGGTAACTGCATTACCTTGGAAAGACAGGCAATTCCAGACTTTACTCACCCCCGAGATCATTCGTAGTCACTATGGTTGTAAATATTCTTGCTGTAAATTGAATGAATTCTTATTAGTGTATTAGATACGACACGTTTATAATACCTCAAAAATGATGAAATACCTATTTTTCAATAGAGGATAACCTTGCATAATACTTGCGTAAGAATAGACACTGTACAGACATTCCCACTTTTCATGCATCACTGTTTTAGCTTCAGAGATCAAGCTCTCAAAGTTGTGTGACACTGTATTACTGGTCTTAAATTTTTAATGAGAAAACAACTAATATAATTAGAATTTTCTATCTATCTCACTGGATTGGATGTGGGCAGAGTTTACTGCTTCTCTTTCTGTTCAGCTCCCTCCTCCAGTAGCTGCTACTGAGCTACACCCACAACCAAGCTAGCGTGACTTGGCCATTGTAACGTTCACATGACTGCTTTTAGGCTTCTGCAAATATGAGGAATCCAGCTTTCCTGCCCACAACAAATCTAAACATTAATTATTTCACATTTGCAGCATATTAAAACCATTCAGAAAGTTCACTGCCATTGTTCAGTGAACATTCCGCAACTCCTAATTATGTTTCACAGGGAAATAGTTTTGGCATCACTACGTTTTATAATAAGAACATTATGAACAAGTTTTGTGAATGTGACAAGATTTCTGACAAACAGCTGTAGAAGATCTGTTCATGCAGACCACTAGCTAGTTAATACATGAACTGTACAAATCACTGTTCTTCCTATGTTCTTAAATTCTCCTGTTAAGAAACATACTTACATCTAGTCATAGTATTAAAGGTATTTACCAGTAAGTACATCTATTTGTAGACGACTTTACAGAATTAGTGTTGTCTAACTCAAAATTTAGTACCTTTTCATGCTGGATCACTAGTAATTTTATTAAATCCTACAACATTGAAATTGTTTCTTTG